TATATATATATATATATATATATATATATATATATATATATATATATATATATATATATATATATATATATAGCGGTTGAGGCATCCGTTCTATAAGTTAAAACATAATTCTAGACAAATGCATCTTTGATAACGGCGTATAAGAGATATACAAGTATAATAAAACAGCACTAAGTTAAATGGATAAGAAATGAAAATAGAAAAAAAAAGACTAAATACCTGCGTTGACCATCACCACGGCTGCGACCATTGCCAAACAAACCCCAGCAACATTCGTACGCCACATCTTCTCTTCCTGACCTGTAACTTCTGTGATGTCTTTATCTTCTGTTCAAGCAACTGTGTAGCGTGTACTACTTATGAAAAGGCTTAAATATGAGCGCTGTTCCCGGAACTCCTCTCCAAAACAGGATACGTCTAAGCTCAGCTGCTTTGTAATATTTCCTACCAGTGTTATTTTAACGCAGAGGCCGACTGCTGGTGTCATGTTAATGAAAACATATCACCCGGGGAGCACCACTGATTACAGCACTAAGGGAGCGTTCAGATAAACCCATCGCACCAGCTGGATCGATCCAATTCTGCGGAGATTTTCCCTACGTCGATGCTGTAAACGGGTCAAATGTCTGACACACCCCCACGAGCTGCTAGGGGGTAATTCAGTCGACCGCACACGAAACTTTATTACTCCCTATAGCTACGCAATGTGACTTGTACAATTTAGCTGAAACGCTGAATGCAATATGGCGAGAATTCCCCGCAGAGTTGGATTGATCCTGCTGGTTTAATTTTTAAATATGAACGGTGTCTAACCTAGGCGGGCACGTGTATAGTGTAGACGTCATTTTCTTCATAAATGAAGGATGAGAGCCATTTACGGAGTGCGTTATATGTCATGTACGCCATTTTGTTGATTAGTTGGTATATTGCTACAACCGAGGGCCTGCATTTGTTCAGAGACGTTAAATCAAAATCGTTAAATTAGTGTTACGTGCTGTCATCATTGCAGCACATTTCATTTCATTGTTTCAACGGCGAAAAAAACATGATTCGCCTTCAACTTCTGAGTAATTAAAATTATTTAAACTTGACTGAGGGGGCCTTGCTCCAAAAATGGAGACCAGTTTCCGAAGAAATCACGGTCTTCCCCTGCCGCATAAATACAATATAACATGGTCACTACATTTACATTAAACATATGTGATGAAGCCTTTTTAAATCTGGCTAATTTATTTTCCTACTCATTTCTTTCACTTGCAAGTAACAACATGAAGACACCATAACTTTTCATTAGTTTCTAGAGCTCATTATAATACCACACAGACCTGAAAACTAAATATAACAGTTTTATTTGAAAACGATATGTTGAAAATGCTATCTATTCACTGCAAGCATTGACCATGTGAATGACGAACCACAGAGTTTATTCCCGGGACCTGCAGTCTAAAAATCCTGACTGACAAGCAAAAATTGGATAAGTAGGTTTTGCCATCGTAACCCAAGGTGAAAGTTTTCAATAATCAACCATCCGCTAAATTTACCGCTCTCAGTGCAGCAGGTCAACTTTGTATTTCAACATGGCAAACAATAAATCTTAATTTGGAGCATGGTTGCAACAAGGAGCCGTATCACATAGGAAACTGGCCGATTTTACATAATTATCAGGATTTGTTTTTCCGGGCTGTGCTTGTGCGATAATCGAGCTACAACGCGCTCTTATATCCGGTATGTCGCATTTTATGAGAACTACTGATCATTTTCATTCGTTTTGGAGTGCTTTCAGGAAACGTTTATCAGATATTGTAACCCTTCATGATTCCAGATACCGAAAATGAGTTTTTTCCTGCATCTAATTATTCAATAATGCATCTATCTTTGTGCTGATTTAAAACAATAAAAAACCCTCGACAATATGAAATATTGCCCTTTATATATATTTTCGTTGCGCAGTATAAGCATAGGCAACTCAAAGCTTGAATCGTCATTTAAAACCTTTCTATTTTGAGTTGAGATAGCAATTGGTGTGGGGCGTAATTTTATCCCTAAACAATATTTTATCACGAAAATTCGCAGAGTTGACCAGGAATAAATAAGCTACAATCCCGTGCCGTCATTTTGGTTTAAATGTTTTTGTTATGAGCCCCTAACTACAGATTTTCATTAAACAAAGGCATTTTTTGCTTTATCAACGATAAAATCTCAACTAAGACGTCTAAGAAAAATCCTGGCAGGGTTTTGGGGTTATAAATAGTCATTAAATCGGCGTTGAAACGGTGGTCGTGGGTGCTCAGGTAAAAGAGAAATTTGAGAAACCGATTTTTACAGTTTTAACCCCAAAATCGCAATTATGACGTCACTCGTAGGATGACATATGTGTAAATGTTAATTAATTTAGTCACTGATCACTGAAGATTTGTGTATTACCCAAAATAATGGATGTACGGCAGTAAATAAAGAGGTTTGGGCGAAGGGTGACAATATCCTTAAAGCAGAATTGTAATTAAAAAAAAACTTAAATGTAAAAACTTTCTAACAACAAGTAGCTTTTGTCATTCTCAGACGTCAAATGAAAACTCATGATTTTGGTTTGGTTATTTTGATCTTCTGATGTATTCCTTATGATTTATATCTGTTATCTGATTTGATGAGTAGCTTGCAAGCTATCCATGTAGTTTTTCTAAACTCTAGTGAAATACTTTGGAATACTTGACTGAAGATTAATTTGGACTGGGAAACAATATAATGGGTCCTAGAGTTGAACACAACTACCACGTTTCATATCATAAAACGAAAACATGCACGAAACACTCCAGCTGAATACAGAGTTCTCCCAAATTACGAAACTGGGGCACAGATGTTCGGAGAAAATGCTCTTACAGTAACAGCATTATGACAAAATTGTTTTTATAAGAAATGGTGGGTCTTCAAAACTTCGAATGTCATCAACCAAAATTGATGTCACTGAAATAAATATCAATCATAAATGAATACTCCTTTGTTTTATATATTTTATTTCTCTTATATCATATTATTTACATATTTACAAAAACCCTGACGCATATTGTCCAATAATAAGTAGAGTTAAATCTAGTTTTGCTCCCCTCCTATTCGCCATGTAGAAATGGTTATGCTCCTAAATTTTTTAACAGAATGCCTTTGCAGGAGGCTGAGGCAAGCTTATATAAAAAAGAACCCCCGTTAGAATACTCGGTTTTTGAAGATTATTTTAAGCAGAATTTCGTGATTCTGCTGATCATGCGTAGTCAATCCCGTCTGAGTGTCATCAAAAATTATTAATTTCTTAATCTAATCCTTGCATTACCCTCATAATAGATCAATTGACATCAAAGATTTTTCGCTATCAAGTCATTAGCCTAGAGCTATTTGTGGAAATGGAACATTGCATTATATCAGCTTTAATTTTATACGTTTACTGTGTAATTACAGTAATCGTGACGGAAATGTCAGGGACGGGTTTCCCCGCCGAAGTCAATGCCGTAGTTCTTAAAACCCAGCACGACCTTTCCAGAAACTGGGCCAGCTAACACCATTTCCAAGCATATTCCCGGAACTAGAAGGTTCTGATGAAATGACACACACGCTGTGTTCCTTGAATCATGGAACATTGCATGGACATTGGAGCCGCTGTAACTAAGACCCAATTCCCAGATATTAGATCGATCCAACTAGATCGACCTAACTCCCTGGAGGTTCCCGCTAAATAGCTATCAGCCGAGCGCGCACGAAAGTTAATTACCCCTTACAGCTTGTAGTAGGTGGGAAAAAAAATGTCCACGATATTAAAAAGACACCAAAATAAGAACCAATATCTATGTACAGAGCTTTTCGCATTCCTTAACATTGACGCAGTCTTTAACCTCTCTGAAATCCCACTTAATACAAGTTGGATTGCCGATTTGTCGAGGAATGCCGAAAAAGAAACCCCATGGCCCCCGGTGTCCGAGATCGTACTGAGCGCAATATTTCTCAGTTTTTACTTCACACCCCTCCTTCAGTTTGCACGCTTTCTGTTTGAAACACTTCTTATTGCCATTCTTTTTATTCTTCTTTTTCTTCTTATTCTTCTTGTCCTTCTTGTTTTTCTTGTCCTTGTTCTTCGTGTTCCCTTTCCCCTTTTTGCCGGGTGTGAGTTCGGGGTCTTTTGGAGGGAGAGGAACGTAAGGGTCGACTGGACCAATTCCAACTACGTGTCCTGGATAAAGGGGAACGTAAGGGTCCTTTTTTTCTTTCCCTCCTTTATTTTTCTTTGGTTTCTTGGGAAGAATACCCTTGCCGTCCTTTTTGTCCTTTTTCCCTGGTTTTGCAGATCCAACAGGACCGGAAGGGAGGCGATGTCCGTAAGGGATCCCAGGAGGAGGAACAACAAAACCGGGCATGCCTGGGAATACACCTGGGACAGGAGGTCGGTAAGGGTTTGGCATCGGAAGACCTCTCTGGAAGGGATGGACTGGCCTAGGGGGACCGTAAGGATTTCGGACTCCGAATGGTGGGAAAGGACCGTGAGGGGGTGGCATATGAGGCAGTCCTCGAGGGGGAAACCCCAGCAACTGACGGCGCTCACGACTTTTACCCACGTCTTCTTGGTTTTCTTCAACTAAAACAAAACATATGTACGATAAGCTAAGCTTAGAAAAGAAAAATACACGTGAAGCGTTAGAGCTGCTTTTATTTGTATTTTCCGTCCGGATGTACTTGAAAACTAAAACATTACAATTTAGAATTCTGAAGTTTATTATTTACTTCCAGATATAACTGTATAATTGCAAGTTAATTGGACTAATATAAGATACTGAGCATGTCAGCAGCCCTCTCTCTCTCTCTCTCTCTCTCTCTCTCTGACTGTGTGTGTCTGTGTGTGTGTGTGTGTGTGTGTGTGTGAGAGAGAGAGAGAGAGAAAGAGAGAGAGAGAGAGAGAGAGAAAGAAAGAGAGTATTAGAGAGAGCAACTAATGCTACCTAAAATTGACTCCCAATATAATTCACCATTACTGACCAAATATTCGACTTACCTGTGCTATTTTCTTGAGGTATCCTTGATAATAATTGTATTCTGCGGTTGCCGCAAAATTCCATCACAGCTTCACTGAGATTGTCATCTACCACAGGGACGTCAAGAGCGACAAAATATTCATTATACACGGCGGACACCACTGGTGGCTCCCCCTGGGAAATATAAATAATAAATAATGATAGCTATAATTATACTGCCACACTACACTTATCTCGTGACAGAAGGTCTTGCAGCGTGCGTGCTGTAGTGTCTTTACAAGTTTTACAAAACGATTGTGGTCATTTTTGTGTTGTATTAGTACAATCTTTGTATAATGTGTCAGTTATGAAAATGGAGTATAAGACGGAGAACAACCTTTGTTATTCATGGCCTTTAATATTGAAATATCTTGTA